AAATAAATAAATAAATAAATAAATAAATAAATAAATAAAATCAAAGGGACCTGTTAGAGATGAAGGTTATAATACAGGAAGTCAAAATTTACCTTGAAAGTATTAAAAGCAGATAAGGTCATATAGAAAATCGAATCTCAGATGTACAAGAGAAAATTTCTGGCCTAGAAAAATCCATAATGAAGATGGAGAAAATTGCCAAAAAAATGAGAATAATATACAAGAAATACTAGATACCATCAAACGTCCTAACATCCGGATGATTGGTATCACAGAAGGCTAAGAGTCTCATACAGGCATTGGTAATCTATTCCATGAAATCCTGCAAGAAAACTTTCCCATCCTAGAGAGGCAATCAAAGATCCAGTCCAAAGAAATACAAAGGACCTCAAATAGAATCGACTCAAGGTCTTCTCCAAGACCTCCAAGACACATTATAGCCAGATTGTCTAAAACCACAGCAAAGACAAGATACTAAGATTGGCAAGAGAAAAACATCAAGTTACCTACAAAGGATATCCCATCAGGATAACTACAGAACTCTCATCAGAAACAAAGCGAGGGAGGAGAGAAGCAATTTCAGCCAAGAATACTGTACCTGGCAAGATTATCTTTCAGGTGGGAAGAAAAGACAAGAGCATTCTCAGATAAACAAAACCTGAAAGAATTTATCAACGCCAGACCAGATATCCAAGAAGTTCTCAAGGGAGTGTTATATCAGGAAAATTAAATACACACACAGATATCAGAGTTCAAAAACTAAGAAAATGGCCAACTTAATCATGGGGATAAGCCTTGAGTTGAATATTATATCCCAGAATTTAATCGGGAAGATCGAACCACAACAGAAGATAAAGTACATGAGACTGAATTGGTGAAATAGACTTTTATGACTTGACTAAAATATTGCTGTATTTCCTCTAGGCTTTGTTGTCCGGTTTTAAGGATTTGTGTCCTGTCTTGAGATGTCGATAGGCTCGTGTACCTACCATTTGAACAGAATCTTAACCTGTTTCCTGGCTTTAATGAAATTACCAGCTGAACTTGCTATTGAAAGTAATTAGATTATTTAAGAAATTTTGTGATCAATACAATTTTGGGGAAAAGGAATGGAAGACAACTGTAGACACCAGAGATAGTGTGTGAAGAGGGTGGGAAAGGACAGAGGGTCAGAAATAGGGGTAATATATATGAAACTAGAAATGGAAAATTTTTGATGATAACATGAATGATTAAGCCACTATGCAGTATATTCTGGATGGGAAATTGCATTTTGTATGCTGTGATGATGCTTAGTGAATGAATGCAAATTAATTATGTTTTGAAAAAAAGTTTCAGGAAAAGAAAAAAAAAACTGACACTGTTTTTCTTAAAACTAAAAAAAAAAAATAGCATTAAAAATATCTATTTGATGACTGCAGTAAGATGTACAGCCCTAGCTAAGTGCTACATTATAGTATGTTCATTCTACTCATTGAGGTTTTTGCCTAAAGTTAGACTTGTGTTCATGGATATGTATATATCAGCTGTGCTTGCTATTCAAAATATTTAGATTAATTAAGATCTTTAGGAATCAATAAAATGTGGGGGGAAATGCATAGAAAGCAACCATAGATACCAGAGACAGTGTGGGAGGAGGGTGGGAGATGCCAGGGAATCAAGGATGGGAAAAAAAGCAAAATATACAGGAAACAAGAAATGGAAAATTATTTGTTGATGATAACATATGTTGATGTGCTTGATTGAACCAATATACAGTGTGTTCCAGATAGAAAAAAAAAAATTAATAGTTACATGTCTACCCTATGTAACAGTTCTCATTGCTTTATGATATGGTGATAGCCAGATTTTATTTTTTACATGAAGTAAAGAGAGTCTAGTGTAAATTAGGAGCCTCATAAAAAAATGAATCTGGCTGTTATTATAAAACAGGGATCCTTGATTGCCTTTATAAAATCACTGTTTCCAAAATATCTTAAATAAAGTCACAATGAAGACTAGGGCTTAAACATACACATTTTGGAGGGATAAAATGGTTTCCACTGTTGTCTTCTGGCCTCTACTTCTGTTTCTGATTAGCTATTAATCCCATTATGCTTTGTATGGAAGTAAGAATCATTTTTTCTTGAACTACATGAAATCTATATTTAATAACACCATTTTGCTCCCTGGGGGTACATTATAACTAGAAATAATGTAGTACCAGGTCAATGAAGTAAGTGGATAGAGCAAGCTCCTACTTGATTTTTCCAAGTTCCCCAAACCCAGCTAACATTGTGTTCCCAAATAAAGAATGTTTGGATATTAAACTGATAAGAACAAGTGCTAAACTTGATCTCAGTCAAAATGCAAAGAAGTGATCACAGGTAAAAATTTTTTCTTTTGCTTTCATGTTTTCTTCTTTGCCTTAAAGCAAAGGTATGTTTAGTTGGTGATCTGCTTTTGGTGATCTTTTTTTACTACTTGGAGTTTATAGAGGTTACTGGAAGTATAGATTATTTTCTTAAAATTTGGGAACTTCTATCTCTCCTTTACTCTTGGACTCCCATCATACGTATGTTGGTGCATTTGTTGGTGTCTCACAGATTTATGAGTGAATTCATTATTTTTCATTCTTTAATTTTTTTTTTTCTTCATACAAGATATTCTCCATTGATGTATCTTCAAATTTGGTGATGCATTCTTCTAACTCAGATCTTCTGTTGAACTTGTTTAGTAAATGTAATTTGTTTTGTATTTTATGCTGTAGCATTTTATTTAGCCTATTTTTAAAATTCATATGTCTGTATTGATATTTTCTATTTGAAGACTATTGTGATACGTTTCTCTACTTTTTTTAGCCATGGTGTCCTTAGTTCTTTGAAGGTATTTAAATTTTTGGTTAAGTCTCACTCCTTAGACAATTATTGTTGACATTGTTCCTTCCCTGTGCATGAGTTACATATTTTTTTGCATATCTCATTTTTTGATGACACTATTAAAACTTAGATATTTTTGATGATATTATTTTAAAAATCCCAAAAATCCTGAACTCTAATTTCTCCTTCCACAGTGGTGTTTGTTGTTGCTATTTTGTTTGTTTGTTTAGTGATTTGTTTTGCCTGATTATGGAGGCTATTCCCCTCACAGTTGTACCTGTTCACTACTTGTCTTTTTAGTTTAGTATTATATTTTAGTCTTCCTAGGGTTGCTTCTTGGTCAGTAGGGCTTAATTGTCAGCTGATAATTAGTCATAAATTGTGCTTAAGCACCTGGAGCTTGCTTTTAGCAGTGGACAGTGTAACTATTAATATGTATAGGTTGAAGAATGCATTAAAAACTCAGGGAGTTTAGAAGTATTTCATATGTATTACTTTTTCCTTAGGCTTCATGTTTACTATGAATGACTAACTTACTAAGGTCATTTTTTATCTCTCTTGAGTATGTGTTTAGTTTTCTGTATGTACCAGTTTTCCATAAAGCCAGGGATAAGTAGGATCCAAGACAATTTTTCCTCTAATTTATATTCTAGATATTCTATTTGGTTGTAATTTTATATTTTGTTCCAGCTGGCACAGAATACATTAGACTGGCTATAATGTTGATATTCTCATCAGGACTGCTTTAGTTTTTGACATCTCTTGACATAGAATTTTTCTTTCTTTACTTCCAAAAAGTTGTTTTACTGTACCAATTCTCTCTACCTGCTCCACCCAGTAGAACTTCTGTATTGAGAAAAGGGAAAGAATTATGAGAGTATTTAGAACATAAGACTGTAAATTTTCTTACTGTGGTGATCCAGTTTCTTTTTTTGAATAAGTGGTTATTTATTTGTCTTATGACATTTGTCAATTTCCAGAGACTTTGAGTGATTGTTCGAAGAGTTCTTTGTCATTGCTCTTTGGAAGACAATTTTCTAAGCTCCTCACTCAGTCATTCTGGAGGTGACCTATGCCCTTTTGATTTTGTAATCTCATTGTGTGTGTCTCATGGTGTTGATAGTAATTTATAGACCTTTCTCAATTTAGAATAAATGAGTCTTTGCCAGATCAATTTTTTGTTCCTGGTTTTAAATGATTCTCTTGGAGGATATTGTGTGAAATCCTAGTTGTGATGATCAATTCATTGTATTTGGATTTGTAATATCATTTTCAAGGAATTCTCAGTTTCTGTGATTACAGAAAGTTATGTAATTTTAAATATATATGTTGCTTTTCCAATTTGGATAGGTATAGGAAATGGTAAATTTAAAGAAATTTGTTTTCAAAATCATTTGCAAAATGCCAAGAGCTGCCTGTAGTCATTGGTCTATTGGTGCGGTTGTACAACTTGGCCTCTAATTTTTATCTCTATCTTACTTTCCAGTATTGTGTCTCTGATCTGTGGTAGGGTGGTCTAGTGATTTTATTATCAGGAGAAAAGCAGATTTGAAATTACCAATGAGCCAAAAAAGTCCTCCATTCAACAGGATTTTTTCTGTTACATAGGTCCTTAGGTTCTCACACTATAGAACATTCCAACTGGCTTCTTTGGAAGTTTTCTATTTAACCACTTTATGACCATGTAAATTCAAATCAAGATGTTGATTACCACTCCTTGGACAGTTACAATTTTTGTATTTTTATTGTTGTTGTTTTAAAAGAGGTTTTTGCCTTAGGGCCTGTGCTCTTTGGAGAGAGAGATTGGGAGGGAAAATGAGAAATCAACCTCCAGGGGTGATGGCCACATCACCATCCCTTCTCCATTCTCCTCCCTGGATCCTGGGCATGCACATAGACATGCTTAGCATAATTTTCAAGGTACTGTGCCCAGGACCCGAAAAGCAGTCACTGGGAGTCCAGAGACATAATTCAGTGCCATCTGCTGACTCCATAATTTTTGTATTATTATAATTACTTCCTCATTTAGTTCCTTGATAGTATGGAGAAAATATCCCAGAACTTCAGCATGCATGTTTATGGCAAATTCTTTAATTCATGCATTTTATTCATCCACTCATATTCTTAAATATATGCTATGCTTTAGCATGGTGCTGTGCACTGGAGACATAGTGGCAATTAAACAACTCCCTGCTTCTCAGACTATCATTGCAAAAATAAAAAGTACTGCACAAATACCTAGTCTCCAGAAATCAGAAGCATTTTGCATTAAATATACATATGATATTGTATGTTATAAAATTCTAATGTATATCTACCTATAATTCTTAAGTAGAAATTGGTTATCAGGTTTAATGTAATATATGCTATAAAATGGAAAAATTGTCTAAATTTAGGCTGTTCGTATAGAATTTACCTGAAATATTTAACTTTGAGTCTATGATGAATATATCCATATGAGAAGAAGGTAGTGATATTATTAAATTGGATTAGAGCTATAATAAGATCTTAACTGAGGTCTTTGTTCAGCAATTTTAAATTAAATTATTTAAATACTTTGAGTTTCAGGTTTCTCATTGACAAAATAGATAGGGTATGTGTCATGTTCTTCTGATAATTATTTTTTTAAACCAAATTTTAAAAAATAAAATGCTTAAATGTGAAGACAGTATTTCAATTTGGGCTGTTATAAAAATTTTAAGGTCATATATTCATTTTATCTGATTTAGATGTGTTGTATATAACATATTTTTTTTTAAAAAAACACATTTACATAGAGTGTAAAGAAATTATAGCAATGACATAAATTGGACTTAGCTGTGACTTTGATAAGGTATCCTTTATTTCTTTAAACAAACGATTATTATTTCATTGTAATCAAGTCCAACTTAAATAAATTTTTAAAACTAGATTTTCTCAGGAAAGCAAGAGAAAGATTGTGGACACTTTCATTTCAAGGCAAAATATACAATGCCTTCACTACTCCAAGTTTCAGCTGTGGCTCTCCAATTTAGAGCTCTTCACTGCAATGACAGGGTCTGTTCTTTCCAAAAGCCTCTGCCTTCTACAGCTGCCATTTCTTCCCACAGTCCCTCTTACCTTGTCAGTTCCTCCTTTGCTAAATTTAAAACTGAATAATGAGGTCATCCACAGGACCTCCTTTTCTCCTAGGACTTTTGAAAGCTCAGACTTTTTTAAATGTTCAAGCTACAACTCAAATTCAATTCTTATGATGACATTATGACACTGAATAAAATAAGAATAGCTTATATGCAATTTCGTATTGGGTTTTAAGAGCTTATCACATAGCATTTTAAATTTTGTTAGGAGAAATTCTTTTTCATAGTATAAAAAGCCTTATTTTTATTCATCCCTTATAGATTTTGGTTTGATACACTTGTCTTGACCACATCATTTAAATGGCCCAAGGATTTTTTAATAGTATATGAGACTGTACATTTTTCTCACCGCACAATCCCATCTTCTCCAATCTTCTCTTGGGATCTTGGGCACGCATACACATGCACCAGGGTGAGCTTTAAGCCTCTGAGTACAGCACTTGAACTGCGGTCGACTACGGGGAACTCCAGTGACATAATTATTATGCTATCTGCTGGTCCCAGGACTGTACATATTTTTAAGAGGCAAATGTACATGCATTCTTTCTTGGAACTTTTCTTGAATTGTCTTAATTTTAGAAAGTATTTTTTATTCTTAAACTAAAATAAACTGATCTTATTTCCTACTAATGTCTTAAATTTACCTACAGAGGAAGAAGTCAATGACTCCTTCAGTGGTGACATGGCATGAACATTTGAAACTTGGTGAGGCACTTGAAGTTGTGAACTTTACACTTGAGGTTGTATGGTTAGCCAAGATCTTAAACATAAAACTTGATGCCTCCTGCAGAGTGAACCTGCAGCTATCAGTTCAGGTCTGCGAATTTAACTGATTTAACAATTAATTCCATCTTGTTAACTGTCCTTGGTAAACACTAGTTTTGCTTCTTTTCTGAAATATAAGAGTTTTAAATCATTAGATTTCTGCTTTCGGTATTATACCTGACTTTCAAAGGTATAGAGTCCAACTATTGTCAAAGCTTAATGCTTAGGTAAATAATTTTGGAAGTGGAGTATGAAACTCTTTTTTCTAAATAGTTATTTATTTATTCAATTGTATTTGTTATTATTATTTTTCAATTTGACCAGAGAGACGGAGAGAAAGGGAAAGTGAGAAAGCAAGACAGCAGGTCTGACACTCAAACCACTGTCCACTATGTGAGAGTCCAGAGCCTTAAGCACCAAGCCACCTGTTGGCCCCGATGAAACTCTTAATTTAAATGAGCTAAAGACAGACAAAGATACATAAATCCCATTTCTATTATTATCATCATTTTGTTTTCTCTATTGACAGCATAATCTTTTCTCAATAACCTATAAGCAACAGAAAGTCTTGAATAAGACGGGTCAGTTTTTTTTTTTTTTTTTTTTTTAAGATATGCCA